CAGAAAAAAGCACTTTGGCAACTTACCACATACGTTTTTTTAAAATACTTAATAAGCACCGTAACTTTCATGATATAATTTCTCCGTCATAATCGGTTGTTTCCGTGAACGGCCGAATGTTGAGTGACGGCAAATGCTGCGGCTGCAATGCATTGTGGGGCAGCATTTTCTCCTCTCCTTTCGGTTAGGGAGGTCCAGTGGTTCCTAAGCTAAAGGAGGTTATAAAGGACGTTTGAAACCTCCTTTCCTTTCATTTGGAGAATTGGAACGGCACTTATCATGGCTGCCACTGAGGGACTTCCGGGTCATTTCACTTGGTTAGGAAGGTTCCTAAGCTAAATGGACTATTGGAACGCAACCCTGGTTACAGTCTCACAGGAGATACCGCTGGAAAGCTCTTCCAGCGATTCCGCGGATATCTGAATCATATTTCTACTCCTTATAATCAAAAATATATGATTAATTACGTAAATGATGCGCACCGACTCCAGAGGGTTAAGAATACGAATATATGTAAAGTGTTTATTTTGGAGACAGCTCCATCTTTGAACTCCTTTATAGTGTGATAAGGAGAACACAACAGTAATAATGCTTTTATTATTTAGCAACAATGCCTTATAAAGAGCTCTAAAACATTCTCTTAATTGTATTTGATAGATAGTGAGGTGAGCCTAGACAAAACACAATGATGCCCAGAACAGTTCAGACTCAGAGAATGAAGAAAGGATAGAGACAGAATCTGAAAATGAGGAGTAAGAGAGAGGAATTGAGAATGAAGAGATAGGAAGTGAGGACAAAGAGATAGGAATGAAGAGACAGGAATTCAGAATGAAGAGACAGGAACTGAGGACAAATAGATGGAAGGGGAGGATATGGAGATTGAGAGGGAAGAGATGGAGAATGAGGCAGTAACATCAGAGTCCACAAGAGTGAAAGCACCTTCAGAATTAGTTTTTTGCTACAGCTACCAAACCCCACCAATCCAGCTCATGTTCAGAAGAACAATATCAAGTACAATTAAAGCTGCAAGCAGCGTTGAGCGGGTCTTCGATGCTCCGCAGGCTGTTGTCTGCACGTCGATGTGTCACGTAGGTGTCTCGAGGACTCGGCCGTTGGCAAACGTGGGAAGTTTGCCAATCGGACAACGTACTAGGGAGTTACAGCAGTATCACAAACATTGTGTTTGATGGCGAGTGATCTGTCGCCATGGCAATGGAATTTGATGACACCCCATAATACACCTAGATGTGTTGAGGGCTACATCGTTATCAAACCTGTGAAGTTTTGGGCCGTTTGGTGCATGTTAACTGGAGTTATGAGAAAACCGTGTTTCACGGCGACCATTTTGTTACAATAGCAAAGACATTTGACGAAATCTCAAAACTGACACATACATGTCTCGAGGGCTTGACGGTTAGCACACATGTGAAATGTATTATTTATTATTTATCATAATGTTTTTTTCAAAAAGTGTTTAATTTTCGCACCTATACCAGTCATATTATTTCATCCAGTAGCCTAGTTAAACTTCCACCAGAAAACAGTTGAAAATGGCTTTTATGGTGTTCCGAGGGATTCGGCGGCTCAGCCTGGGCCCTAAGGTCTCAGCCTCTCGTTCACACCAGAAAGTTACCGGTCCGTCAAGAGGAGCGCACAGGAGACGACCGTTTCATTGCAGACTGTTATGTTTATGTGGGGTAAGTCGCTTTGGATAAAAGCGTCTAACAAATGACATGTAATGTAATGTGGGTGTTCCCAAAATAAATTACTTTAATCTCAATCTCGATGTAGTGCTAAATGCTATCGGAGTGCACCGGAACGAACGACACTATCATAATCAGGGCCGTCCCTCCCTACAGGCAGATCATGCAGACTGCGTGGGGCCTCACCTTGCGGAGCCGTAAATGTGGCGCACCTGTGCGCTTATGCAGCGCAATTAGTGTGGCGCGGCACGGTTTTGCCGCTGCGAGTCTCCACTAGCATCGCCACGCTCGCGAAACAGAGAGCCTCATCATATAACTTTGAATGGGGCCTCAAATTGGCCAGGGACGGCCCTGATCATAATATCTTCTGAAAACAAATGCCAGTGTCACACTCACACAATGCGCCTTCTCCTCGTTTTCCCAGCATTCCCAACATTATCGGTAAATCATACAAACAAAACCAAAATGTTGATTTATCTGTTTTCCCGTTTTGAAACTGAATAACATCGTATTTTCTGAAAAACAAAAAAACGACACCGGTTCTTTCTTTTTTTTAAACGTTGTTAATATGTTTTGGATGCATATTGTTCTAGTATTTGTTCAGGCTGTTACATACAATTAGCCTTTGTTGCTACCTGCTGGTGAGTAAATAATAAAATCAGTTAAAATTGACAACCGGTCCGCGATTTTTTTTTAATGTATCTGCCGGTCCTTGGCACAATAAAGGTTGGGAACCCCTGCTCTAGACTGCCTCCCACATGGGTGTAGCCAGGCGCATTCTGGATGCAATGCTGCTTCAGACATGACCAGTACATCTTACACATGAAGTCCTGAGCACTTTAATGGCAGAGGTGGTGGCGATCATCAACGCAAGACCCCTTGTCTCTGTGTATACTGACCCAGATATGCATGAAGTACTAACCCCAACAACTTTTCTTACCAAATGAGTGTTGTTTCAGCACCCCCTGGAAACTTTGCAACAGCTCCGTTTTTTGGAAAGCAATGGAAACAAGTCCAGTGTCACTCATTTATATTCCTATTTCTGTATTGTCAGTTTTACAAAAATCAAGAGTCATCTTCACCGCAAACAAAAACATTAAATTAAAAGCATTGTCTTGTTTTGCTTCACCCAAAAGGTTTTATGTCAACCTGTATTGGTCCTTAATAAAATAAACACGCCTGGCTTACTTCTTCGTCCTCAGTACGAGACCAGCCCTTCTCAGTCTGCATAGTTGCTCTTGAAGTCCACTAGTCGGATCTTCAATGTCTCCTTTGCTGCTCTGCCTGCTCTTTCTTTAGTCTTATAGCCTTTCTTACATGCAAGATCTCTCTCCTCCTACTATGGGGTTGCTTTCCAGTTGTTCCGCTGGGCCTTGTTCAGTTTTGTTGCTTTAGCACTGGAGACCCAGGGGATTTACTGTTAGACAAAACAAACTGTCCAATTGGAACGTTACGTAACACAAATACCAATATCGTGATAAATATCGTACCGTGGACTTGTTATCGTGATATTATCATGCCGTGAGTTTTTGGTATTGTTACATCCCTAGTCCATACAGTCTTGGAATTGAACATCCAATCAAATAATGTAGTGTGTACCTGTTAGCAAGCTGACCAAAAGTCCCACTACCACCACCACGGCGGAGTTGTGGGCACTATACCACATGTAGGATAGCGAGTAGAGTGCCTCCACACCTGTCGGCCTGAAGGAAAGGGGAAGATGAAAGACAGAACGATGTTAGCACTAACCGATGATCATTACATGACTGACCATATGCAGTTACCTATAGTGTTAAATGAAATAAATGCAGTAACTTTAAATGCAAAGTAAATAAACGTTAATTGTCACACATATACACATGCACATAACCAACAGTTACATTTAGACATTGCTTTTATCCATCCAAGAAGCAGTGGGCAGCTACTTGTCTGTGCAGGGACTTAAACTGTTGACCCTCCTATTTACAAGCTACTGCAGCCTGCATGCGTTACCTCGGCTTGGCTGTGGTGGCGCTGACCAGTGGGGTCATGACAGCGGTGGTCATGTTGTCAAACAGGGGCAGATTTGTGGCGTTGAGGGCTCCCATTGCGTTGGCCTCAGACATGCGCAGCAAAAAGCTACCAATGCCGATCCAGAAGGCCATGGCAAGGCCTGCTACCAACCCGACCAGTGCACCCTGTAGAGGTAATACATGGGTTTGTTCAAACCTCATCTTGAACCAAGTTGTAAAAAATAAAAGCACAAATGAAAGAACTCACAGTAGAGTTTGCCCACGGAAAAAACAATCCAAGGCAGAAGAGGCCAAGCAGAGGACCACCAACCATCCCAAAGATGCTGAAGGCTGCCTGAGGACATAGAACATGGGTAAAGGTGTCGATCATTGTGTGATAGGTAACTGCACTGAACGGCTGCATTAAATAAACAAAACACTTTACTGACTATTTCCTTTTAAACTATTTTAGAGAATGTCATTTTTCTTCATGTCAAGATTGAGTTACCTGCAGAACAGATCCCATAATAGAGGCGACGTAGGCCATGGCCAGACACACCAGGCCATATACCAAAGCTGTGGGCCAAGAGCGTTAGAAAGAAATGTTTTTTGTTTACACATGCTACATCATCAGCAGGTTATATACTGAAAAGTAGGTTCAAGTATAAACTGAACTTAGCATTGTAAGCAGCATTTGAGTATCTAGACTTCTTTATAAAACACAGTATGCTTGGCTATAGACTGTTACTGATAAGTAACAGTAGGAAATGAGAACAATTTAAATCTACAAACATATTTTATATTCAACAGTATCAAGGTATTTAATACTACAGTATCTAGTAGTTCATGCCAAAAATTATTGGGAAAGGTACAATAAGTTCATTAAAGCACTTGTCTTACCGAGTCCCTTGGACAGCAGCGTAGCTTTGGCTTCAGTCATGTTTGGAAAATGAGGTTTAATCAGGTCCTCCATGGTTACTGTCGCTAGGGAGTTAAAGGCTGATGATATAGTACTGGAAGGAGACAATAATGGGATTCAATTAACAACTGGGAGTTTGTAACACATTATATGTCTTCTCTTTGCATCACAAGTCTTTAGGATATTGATGTATTGATGTATATACTGTAGTTTTAAGAAACTTTCTAAAAATGAGCAATACTCATTTCATGTCCAGCTGATGTTAGAAAATACACTCTTGGGAAACAGTGAAATTCCCTATTCAATTTCAAAAGGATGACATGATAAATTATAACTGACAAAGACATAATGATGAGTAGTGCAAGTTTAGAGTTGTTGTTGTTGTTGTTGTTGTTTGTTGTTGTTGTTGTTGCTTTGTTGTTGGTTCATTTACCTGAGAGCTCCACTGAAGAGACAGGCTACAAACAGTCCCGCAAGCCCGGGCAGATCCTTGAACACGTCCATCACAAAGTACAGGACCATCTGCACAAAGCAACACAACATCAGGATGTACTTCCAAAAGCCAAATATAACAAAGACACATTATTCCTTACAAATTAATGTTAACCTGGTCATTAGATTTGACAAAGCCCTTGTCCAGGGGGCTATCCTCTCCATAACGAGCAAACATGACCAGCCCCATCATACAACCTAAACATAAGACAATCTGCTGGCATGGGAAAACTATGTAGCAGGACCTAGAAGGATATGGCAAACAAGAAGACTGTTAACAATAAAGAAAATCATAGAAAAGGTACACAATGTAACAATATAAAAACTGTAAAATATTTACACAAATTAGCAGTAATTACAAATAGATAGCCTGTGCAAAAGCAGTATGCTTTTGAACATGTTTGTCCAGTTTGAAATGGTTCTGCTTTTTTGTATTTAATGTTTTTTCCTTAACTCCAAGATCAAATATGCAACAGTCATTGCATCATCTTCTTAGAAAACAGAAAGGGTTGACCTAGCACGTTGCTGTGAGACATTGATGGTACTCACATAATGGCCTCTTTTTCCGTACGAGAACTGAGGTACCTCTGGACCTGGGCCTGGTTGACCCCGTATAGAGCCAACATCAGGAAGACTCCTCCCACACCTAGTGTCCAGAAGGTATGGCGCTCCAAAGGGTCGGGGTTCAGGCTACGGAGGCATAGAATCAATATAACATGATAGTCTTGGCCTATACCTTAAAATTCTCCTATTATACTATTTTTAGGCATATATTATAGGTTTCAGATAGGGATGCTCCGATCGCCAATTTTGGGGCCGATCGCCGGAATCAGTATCGGCCGATACCGATCGCCGATCCGATCGCCGATCCTATCAAGTGGGTGGGGGCTATGGGGATCTTCCATTTAAAGGGATGTTTAAAACTCAGTTAATGGGGCTCAGTTAATGGGGCTCATTCACTGGCGCTTCCACAAACAACAACCAACATAATTAGTACATTCAAATGAAGTACATTATTCAAGTTTACATTAACTTTGGAGAATAACACGGGAGAAATTAGCGGAAGCGCTCTCTTTTCCTCTCTCCCTCTCTCCCTCCCCTGACAGCCGGTCCCTATCTGTCTCATGCAGCTCACTGATCCAGTAATGAGTGACCCGACAGTGAAGAATAAATATATTTATCACTAGTTTAGCTTGTTCCAGAGGTAGATAAAATAGCTAAGTGTGTTAGGTCTAACTCTTAGTGTGTGTTTTGCTCCGCTCACCGGTCCGTCACAGCGGGCGTAGCTGCAGGATTTCTGCTTCACACACGTTGCATACCGTTATTTTACTGTATTTTTCAGACACCTTAAAATACTGCCAGACTGGTGAAGCCATTTTGGCGAGCTTGTTTTGCCACGCACAGAGAAAAGTGTCATGTATTTTACGTCATGTGATCGGCTCTCCCGATTGGCATTGTTAGAAATTAAAATCAATGTTTTGATGGCATAAAGTACCTTAAACATACCGTCAGTTTAAATGCTGTTTTATACTTAAAAACCAGAAGTTCTTGTGCACAACCAGTTGTTAAGCTTTTATTCAGAAAATCCTTCATCTCCGGTTAGCATTTAGCATGTGGCTAATATACCATTTACTATAGAGGTGAATTTAGTAGCGATATGACACGATATGCACACCGAAACCTACTGATTTCAACACTACAACTATAGACGTCGAGATATTATTATTGCTGAATATCAAATGAAGGTACAGTTTATTTGAATACGTTTATTTACAGACGTGGGTAGCATGTGACAACATCCGGAACTACCGGAAATGAAACCAGCCGTGAAGTATTTCCTGTATTTTTGGAGTATTGATTACAGCGTTTAAAATGTATTAAATGAAAAGTCATGAAAGAGATAAGGAGGAGAAAAGGCGTGTTTAGTTATATATTTAATGTACAATGTCTGAGTCCTCTGTAATGCGCAACAACGAACATTGGAGACGTGGAGGGCCGGCCCCCAGCAGCGCCAACCGGCACACAGGGAGGAGCCAGCAGAGGATATTTAACAGCTGAAAAAGTGGTACTCGCTCTCTTCCCTTCGCTCAAGAGAGCCAGAACACAGCTGTTTTTCTGACTGAACAATATTCTGCTTGTAACATACCCGCGCCTTTTTTAATTAAAGTACCCATTTGAACCTTCTCAGAGACTCCATTTAGTCTCCTTTTTTAAAGCTTCTCTCCTGGACGCGAGAATAACAAACACAGTTATCAGCATTTATAGAGAGCACCGAACGATCGGCAGAGAGCGAATATCAGCCGATATCGAACGGCGGCCGATCAATCGGAGCATCCCTATTTCAGATATATAAAAAAACATGTCTCTGAAGTGTTTTGCTCAAAATACCAAACAGAACCCATTCTAGCCATGCCTCATACCCAGAGATGGGGTCGTTACTGAAAAAAAGTAATATATTACATATCCTATCCCCACTGCCCTCGTTAAAGCCTGTATGCCCTCTACTTGCCCCTTGATCACAAGAATCATTAACTCGTCCCTCGCAACTGGAAATGTAGCTCAGCGTAAGTTCAATCAGGAAGACAATAAATATCATCGGGTGTCACACGTTATCTCAATAAGTGATCAGGGGTGTTACACAATGCACAAGCAGCAGTAGGGCTTCGTCCCAGCTCCAGGCATTATTCATCAGCTCCGCAGTTTGCGGATTAAGCTACAGGCGGCGTTCCCCAGTCGGCTAGCGGTTCCAGCCGGCCGCCCCGCAAACCCGGACGCGGGAGGGAAAGACAAGGAAATCGGGCTCCACGGGAGTTCCTCCGGCTAATGGAAATTGGCTACTTCACGCAAACAATTGACGCACGCCTTCAGTCTCTCAAGAGGGCATCACTAACATCAGGGCCGCTCAAATGCGGCGCTTCCGGCTTCACGCGGAACGGGTCCTCATCGCATGCGAAGCTTTACCCATTCTGACTTCAACCACAACCCCTCCTGCAGGCAGGCAGGGCTTAAGCTACATCCCATTGAAGCTACTTCCTCCTGCGCCTCACCTCTAAAACAGGCGTCAGGGTAGCGCTGGCAAGAGGCAGTTGCAACAAATTCACGAGATGTTTTCGTTATATCGTTATGACATTTGGGTCATGCAGAGTGAGATCGCTACCCCTTTAAGAGAGGGGTGTGGCGCCTGCATGTGTGCGCGGGCATGGTATGGTAGACCGAGCAGGATACATGTTTTCTAGAAATAACGAGGCAGCAGAAAAAGGAAGGTCCGTGATCTTGCGAAACAGAAGAGCTAAATAAATGCAACGAATGAAGAGCTCGCCTCTCTCCAGTCTTTCCGATAAAATGGGTTATTGAACCCGAAGCGTGTTGCTTCTGCCCTGGGAGACGACAGAGAGTTATCTCCCCCCGTTTCCTCGACTACGGTCTGGGAGCCGACAGGAAGTTCAACACTATGCATTGCTACCTTTAGTTCAGGGTTAAGGTGAGTCCCAGCAGGCAGTGTTGGGCGTAACGTGTTACAGTATGGAGTTCAGTAACGTATTACTTGCATTACTAATGCAGTTCGGGTAATTACTACTAGGGATCGACCAATATGGCTTTTATAAGGCCGATACCGATTATTAGTAATCAAGGAGACCGATAACCGATATACATTTGCAGTAAAATCAGAAAATCTTGGTGTTAAAATGTAAAATCGTTTACATTTCTCCACAGGAGAATTCTACCCAGATACTCAGCTAAACGCTGCCGTGATTAAACGCCATATCATGTTCAAAACCACATCAAGGATTATTTCTGAAACAGTATGGAGCTCAAACACTTTCTCTCCGCAGGTTTACCCCAAGGACAGGTGTTACCTTGGTTGGTTATTGGCTAATGGTTACACAAGCCAAAAAATCTTTATGACATCATAAAGTGGCCAAAATCTGATCAGCTCATTTTCAGACAGGTTTTTATATAAATGGATCAGAACAAATGGTCAAGTGAATGGTTTTTCCTAAAACTTTCAGAATCTCTTTACACAGATGGGACACATGTTTATGTATAAAAGACATGCAAAAGTAGATTTTGCATAATAGGTGACCTTTAAACAATGCACTATGATGAGAATTATGATTAAATAAACCATTATTGTACATCTTAAAATGGTTCTGTTTTTTGTAAGTAGGATCTCCTTATTAATAAAAAAAAAGTCTGAGTATTTTTGTCCTAATCTTGGTTTTTGTGTTTCACGTTTCCTGTTTTGTTTTGAAATGTTTTCTTGTGTTTTACCTTACTTCCTGAGTTTTTTTCCCACTTGACTGTTTGTCTGCCCCGCCCTGATCCGACCCACCTGTTTCTCATCACCTGCTGCCCTTGTGTTTTTGCCTGTCCTCTCCAGCTGTGGCTTGTCAGTGTGATTAGTTCTGTGACTATGGTTGCCGTCACGTTGTCCAAAAATCTGTAATTTTTCCTAGTCTGCTATCCATTTTAAACAAGTTATTCCGTTTTATTTTCTTGTTTTGTTTTCCTTTTAATATTTTTTTACCATGCCTGGTCCTCCTGTTTAAAAATCAGTTTTAGTAAAATAAAGCTTGCCTTTAGGTTTAAAGCTCTCCTATTATACTATTTGTAGGCATATATTATAGGTCTCAAACAGCATCAAGGATTATTTCTGAAACAATTTGGATCTCAAATGCTTTTTCTCTTGAGGTGAGTTTCATTTTATATCCTGCTTTTTTACACATACTCTCTCCAGAACAGGTTAGCTCTGGGTGTTAGCGATGCTTGCTAATGTAAACACAGACCATATTACTTCCAAAACGTCACACATTGTTTCTGTTACAGCAATGTTTCTGATAGGGCTATAGGTGTAAAGCCAGCCCACATTTTAGTAACGTCGTCATGACCGCAGCAAATCTACAGCTCCGTTGTCCCGTTTTTAGAGATGTGGGTAAGGAGGAAAGAGAGGGTTGTATTTTCGGACACATTGTGAGTCTCCTTACACACCAGGGACAAATATTTATGTATAAAAGACATCAAAAAGTGCATTTTGCATGATAAGGGGACCTTTAATACACTGTGACATGTAAAAGGAAGGAGGACACAGACTACTCACTCCAGACCAGCAATGCGACTGCCATTGGTCGCTTTCCTCCACACCTCTGCTATGCCCCCCGCCTGATTGGCCCCCACAACGATGACCGCAAGCTGGCCTGCAAACATGACCACTGTCTGGAACACATCGGTCCAGATTACTGCCTTCAGACCGCCCTGGGACAAAGAAGCAGTGGATCCACTTAATATATCAAAATGATTATCATTAGGAATAATCTGCTAAAGTGTGCATTGATTGGAATGAATGATATATATGTTCAAATAACCGAAGACAATAAAATAAAAATAATAAAGTAATTAAAGCAAAAATAAGTTATTGACAAGAACCTCCTTCCTCCTCTACATTATTGGATTGGATTGGATTATTAGATGTACACAAGATATATATGTTCTTGTTTAAATAAATTGAGCTTTTCTTTGTTTTTGACCAATATTTTGTCTCAATAATCACTGATGAAATTATCCCTGGGATGAGGTAAGATTAAGGTACTCACCAGAGCAGTATAAAGAGTGCACACCAAGCCCATGGCCAGTACTGCCCCCCATAGGTCAATGCCTGTCACTGCAAGTGATCAGACAGAGTATTACCAAAACCGGCACACACATTACTGAACTACAACTCTTACTGCATTCAATCAGTAACCGTTGGCACCTATTGATGTAAAAATGATTTGATAATGTTGTGGTCAAATATTTAAAGAAAATGCTAGTCCTACCTGCATTGAGTGCCAATGCCGGGGCATACAGTACAACCCCCATATAAATGACCTGCAGAAGAAGAAAATATAAACATTACAGAACAGGGAAAGTCACAAAAAAACGCTGAACTCATGAGGTCATGATTCATATATCAGATTATACCTGTCAACATTTAAAAAGTTCTGACACTGAGGAAATAGATTAAGATAACATTTTTGGAATATGGCATGTTGCATTGTTGGGGAGCCTGAGACTCAGAATGTTCATTGCCAACAACTACGCTTCATTTGCTAGTAAACAAGGAAAAATAGCATTTAAAGGTAGATATGTAAGTTTGAGAAACCAGCTTGTTATATTCCATGGAATGCTCTTAACATCCCGATAGCAATGAATATCTTAAGTGCTTTGACAAAAAATCCATTAAAAAATGTCATCTGTGGAAGCCGTAGTACTGTAAAAAGCACGACCAATCATCTGAGCCGGCTAAAATAACTGGATGGCCTACCTGCCTGTCAGCCTTCCATCTGTGCACAAACTTATCTCACAGGTTATGTGCACGTTTGTGTGTATTGGAGGAGGGGCTCTATAAGGAAGTGGCAGATTTTCTCCGGTCGTGTATTTTCAAATTCTAGCGATCTCGAGCCGGTTTCTCAAACTTAAATACCCTACCTTTAAGCAATTCACCATCAAAAATTGTTTCTACACATTTCTGTATTTATTTTGGGCAATTAATAATTGTGTTGATTGGCATTGATAATAACAATTCACACTATTAATGAAATGTCATGAGTTCCTGAAATTACTGAATACAAATCACATAACACATTTGAGGGTTCATTTGGGCTAAGGTTTCAGCTAGGCTGCAATATAATAAGCCAATGAATGCACTGTTATATCTGTACAATTCTCAAAGTGGCATTTTTTTAGATAAACTTTTTTATTGCTGTTTTTGCCTTTCTTAATCAATGTTTTACTATCTCAACAGCTTAATTTAATGGTCTGCTTGCTTTATTAAATGGGAACTTGGAATACATTTATGTTTTCTGGGTCAAATAATTATTGTCTTTACTAAAAACTTCCATTTAGCTGATATAACGCCCAAGGTGGTGGTCATTTTATCAGAAGTAGCATCAATAAGTTCCCTTGTTCCTGCAAGGGGTTGGCATAAAACCCCAGAAAACAAATTTACAAAGGAAGCATGAGCCAAACAAGGATACCATCTGAAAGATGAAGGTCACAGTCCCACATATGCGAACCGTCTTGTTAAAGCGCAGCTCCAGATACTGTCGAGGGGAGACAATGTCAAAGGGAAAAGACATAAACAAATGGCTAATTAAAATATGAATTCAGTCATTTTGTGACATATGTTCGGATTGTGGATGTTTGTCAGGATCAGAGCTGCAAATATAGAGCCTTAATATCAAAGCCAGATTTTTCAAAGCCAGATTTTTCCAAACCAGATTTGATCTCAGATTTAAACTTTTGTTCACAGGACATCAGTGCAGTACTGTTATCAGGTCAATTCTCATTTGTGTACTTGAGGTTCATGAGAGAAACAGCCAGACCGGAAGGAGATAACCCTAACCTTTTAAATATGTTCAGTCTTGAGACAAGAACATGCGTTTTTCTGTTGAACTTCAATGGCAAGCAGAGATAAGAGGACTGATACATATTTTTAAGCTCTGATATCTTGAAAACCTGAAAAAACGTGCAGACAATCATTCCGAAAAATGTGCATGTTGTGTGTACCTCATAAGCGCGCTGGACAGACGAAGTCTATAGAAAACTGGTATGAAAACATGAGCCGGGATGAGCAGGCCTAAGAAGTAGGAGCAGCCCAGGAAACCAGTACTGAGTCCCAAAGGTGTACACCTCAGATGGAGCACCAAGGATGGCCACAGCCGACTGGAAAGTGGCCAGCAGGGACAAAGACACAGGCAGGCAGCTCATGGAGCGATCAGCCATCAGGAACTCCTAGAAACAGACAGCATATTAGTGTCAAGACTATCAAATACAAAAACATAGTGTGCCCCTAAAAGCTTAAAATTGACCCTGTCGTCTTATTTGGTTAAGAATCAAAGTAAGGGAAGTATGTTTGAAGTCTACCTGTGTTGTGCGTTGGCGTCCACCGGAGAAAGCATGGAAGAGTCCGATGCCAGTTGAGGCTACTAAAAGTAGGGCAAAGATGACGTAGTCCACTGTGGTGAAGTGCATTTGGACTACCCCTCCCATGATGACAGTGGATGCTGGGGGCCAGGGGAGTGATCACGACAACACAGAGAGTACTTCACCAATAGGAAGACTCAGTGAGAGCTGGAAAGGAAACAACAGGGTAAGTTAACTTCCTCGCACAAAGAACTGGGTAGCAGTGGTTCAGATGTAAACTCAACAATTAGCAGTGATTATCTTGTCTTCAACTATTTTCTTTCATCTTTAAGTTTTGTAAAAAAGCACTACAGAGCAAGAGTAATATGTGTTCATCAGTAACGGGCCAGGCAATATTGTACAGAAACGCAGAATAACAAGGCGTTTCATCAGAGACAGGTATCTGATGTAGCGAAAATCAATTAATAAAGCAAGAAACCCAAATAATACAAATCTCCTTTTGTTGCAGCCACATACATAATCTCTAGCAGAAGCATCAATATTTACTTTGTAAAATGATCAAATGGAAAATAAATATCCAAACATTTAAATAAAAGCCATTCATTATAGCCTATACTCACCAAAAGTGATTATTTGTACAAAAAATCTATCCTCTTTTCTTTCCTCAAGAAGTGTTCAATTACTCTGATTATCTGAGTTTTCAGTTATTTTGTTTACTAAAATTCTTTGAGCATTAATGTTTAATAGTAGGCATGTAGAATGAATCTTTTATTTACAATGCAACAGTTTCCATATTATGGTTCAACCATTTAAATGTGTTATTTAAGATGCATTTGGGGAGACTGTGGCTGTGAGGGAGTGTGGTTGTCTTTCAACCAGAAGGTTGTGGGTTCGATCCCAGCCCATGCAGTCAACATATCGATGTATCCTTGGGCAAGATACTTAACCCTGAGTTGCTCCCGATGGCATGGCCAACGGTGTGTGAATGTGTATGCATGTTAGTTCCTAGAGTAACATACACTGCTCTGTGTGAATGGGTGAACGCGCTTTGAGGGGTCTTAAAGACTGGATAAAACACGATATAACTCCATTTACCATTTGCAATATTTTAAGCTGTGTTGTGTTACACAGGCTGGGTTTTTACGATACCCTTAGATCAGAATATTCTGGATTCTGGATTCCGGGATGGCGAGCTACCATTGATAACCTGAACTACTCATCTTTCTGCTACCAGTGGTAGGATTTTGAGAGGACTTTAAAGGAACCGAACAAAGAACTATTTTTTTGTTTTTGGGGTGCACTCGAGTGTAAAGCGCTTTAAAAACAATTTAAAATATTTACTGCCGGCAGACTGTTGTTTATTCCTGTGCCAATATATATATATATATTCTTCATGAAATCTCAGTAGGCTAGTCACTCCATTCACTCTGGTGTTCAACTTCATTTATTACCCATCCTTTAAGAACCTGGAATACTGGTCCAGTTTTCACACATATCAGACTGGTTACACAGGCTAACACTAAGAGTCCAGTCCAGGGGTCGGCAACCCCTGGCACGCGGCACCGTAACCAGTGGCATACTAGGAATAAGTGGAATAAGTGTGCAACATATTTAAATTGTATTTTCGGATCCTGAACGAGACCGCCGCCAGAGCGTGTCTCCCCGTTACCTGCAGAAGGAAGCCATGCACACAGCGCAGCCCCGCTCTCTTTATCTCCAGGTGACTTGCTGCCGCTTTCTTCCGTGGTGTTGATCGTTTCACCACCACAGAGCAGGGGCGGATCTACCCGGGGTGGCATGGGGTGGCAACTGCCACCCTAAACAATAGCCTTGCCACCCCAGCTGCCACCCCAGTTGGCATCTTTGTTTTGAAAGAAAAGTTGTGGCTCATCGGACATTTATGAGAGAAAGTCTCTAATGTCCGAGTGCAAGTGAATGCAGCACAAGATGGACGTAATGTAACCCCTCCCCCGGTCCTGGCGCGAGAGTGGAAATATGATTGGTGGCGAATTCACTTGAACCGGGGGACGGCGCAAAACGAGAAGCCTTTCGGACCCAAGCACTGAAGGAATGAGGTAGTTGCGGTCTACAATGACAGAGAAGAGAATGTCAAGTTTGGCTGTACTCAGCAATGAATCAAAACGCACTACAGCTGTTGATCTTAATAAGTTTGTGAGGCGTTTTGCTGAACAAAATAGTAATCGCCGCATTCAGCTGTAATAGACATGCCAACTTGATGCTCTGCTCACGGATGACTCGATGAGAATAACAAACTGTTAAGATGATGACCTTGTATGCGTGTATATATTTTTTCTTTGAGGGGGTCTGCCCCCCAAAAAAACTGTTTTAAAGTCCTGAGAAAGTAAAATAAGACGGTTGTGTAAAACTACACTGCCCAGCCAACAGAAAGTAACCACTTTGATTTAACTAGGCCAGTAGGTAAGGACCTTCCACTGGATAATAACTGCAGCGATGTTTTAGCTGAATACACGTTTTTTAACTCTAACTGATGCAGTTAGTCACTTCTTTAATGTTTGTTCTTTCTGATGTAAAGTCAAGGTTGTAACTGTATATCAATAATGATATAATTACTTGTTTTTCAACTTTGAAGGAGGGTGAGCAAGCATCTTGATGAACATTCATCATTAACTCCTCCAAAAAATATAGTTTATTCAATAATAAATGAATATGTGAATCATAACAGTTCTTCACTATATCTGTAAAGCGTCTTTGAGCACCTGTAAGAACACTAACAAATTAAATCTATTATTATTATTATTATTATTTATTAACAGTGATTGACAGCTGATAGGAATAATATGATTGTTAATATTATCATATTCATTCAGACAAACATCGATGAGACAGTTAATTAATGTACTTATTGCAGCAGTCTGTTTTGGTTCCCCTGCTGGTCTAAGAGTGAGACAAACTCATTCATTATTGTTCAGTTAAAATTCATTAAATTACGTCTGCCACCTTATATGTAAGGCTTTACTGATGTGCCACAATAATATCACCTATGTGATTGAGTTAAAATATTAATATTGTGGCTTTCCAAGTTAACATTGATTGTAGGGGTGTAACGGTTCACAAACATTTAGGTTCGGTACGTACCTCGGTTTTTATGTCACGGTTCGGTTCGGTTCGGTACGTTTTCGGTACAGCAGAAAAAATTATCACAAAACATTAAATATATATATTTTTTAATTATTATTAAACTGTGACTAATGTATTCAAATAAATACAAAATATAGTAAAATAAACATTAAGGTGCAGCATTTCGATGAACTGAAATAATCTGTATTTGAACTGTACTAGTACCTAAGCAGCCAGCTTGACATTAGGACTTGCTTGTCATTGTATTTTCATGTTGTTTAAAGAAAGATGAACTTGTCCATATTGCTTGCCGACAGGGCAGATCTGCTGGCACTAACAATGTCTCCTGCTGTGGAGAACACCCTCTCTAGGGACAGAGGTAGCGGATACAGCCAGGTAGCGCTTTGCTAACATGGCAACATAAGGATATTTGGCGTTTGTAATAGCTTTGGCTCGGTCTGAACTTTCTGCGAGTGGTGGAGGCTTAAATGCTAGCGGGAGTTGGGTTTGCACTTCAGTCTTTTTTCTTTTGGTACCGGTGATATTCACGTTCGGGTGATGCCTTTTCAAATGAGTGTGCAAGTGTGATGTATTGCCAGCCGCGTAACCAATTTTAGTTGAACAATGCCGACAAACAGCTTTGGTTCGGTCCACCTGTCTTTGTCCGTCATCCTTGTACGTAACTGAGAAACCAAAATAATCCCAAACCGGAGACTTCAATGATGCTGGAGGATTTTCAGCTCAACTTTATCTGCGTTTGCCATTTCGACAGTTCCTCTAATTACTGACTATATTTGAACGCATCCCTGTGACCAGCTCTCATAGTATGCCTCTCGTCCAATGAAATGACTTGGTCGCTCTATGATATATACCTGAGATTACTTCCAGAAAGTTGTTCATGTTCTCAATTTTTTACATTTAACGCTATATTCGTTCGGTACACACGTGTACCGAACCGAAGGGCCCGTTCCGAATAATTTCAGTACGGGTACGTGTACCGTTACACCCCTAATTGATTGATATGATTGCGATTTAAATCAGCATATACTTCTGTCAGGGGATGCCACCCCTCAAAATCTCCTGCCACCCTCTTGCCACCCCATGAATATTTGTCTAGATCCGCCCCTGCCACGGAGGAAAGCACTTCACTAATTGCAGTACCCATAAGGAGCTGTACAAATGCCGCAGTTTTTGCGTGGCTGTGTCTTTAGTTGAAAGCCCAGTGGCGATCTGCTCATCTCTCATCGAAATAATATGCTACAAAGGGGCGGACTGGCCATCTGTGTGTTGAACTTTCCTATCGGCTCCCAGACCGTAGTCGAGGAGGGCAGAAGCAACAAGCTTCAGGTTCAATAACCCACTTTAGCTTAAATGACTGGAGAGAGGCGAGCTCTTCTTGGGAGGCCATTGCATTTATTTAGTTGTTCTTCTGTTTCACAAAATACATCACAGACCTCTGTTTTTCTGCTGCCTCGTTTCACTTCCAGAAACATACACACGTTCTCTCCATAGATACAGTCGGCAAGCGAGGGAACGCCCACAAAACGTCACATCCGGTTCGCGCTGAGGGGGAAAGGATTGTTTTCCCCAGAGCCATATAATAGAAGAGTTACGACAACGGAAGTCCAAAAACGGTTATCGTCACGTGGTTCATGTAGAAGAGGATCGTTCCCCGGAAGTTCATGGCGGGCAATGTGAATGCATTGATAACAGGAGATAGAACTACGATTTTTGGTAATTATTAGTGAATAAAGGTTTTGATTTGCAATATTTATACAACAAATCGATATGTGTATGTATTTACATCAATATGTTTTTAAAAATAAAATAGAATTTGCTAATATTAAGTGATAATATTAGGATTAGTGTGAACAACTAGTTTACATGTTAGGCTAACAGTGCCTTGGTTAAAGAGCCTGTTGCTGTTTATTTATAGCTTTGAATTCTTTAAAACCAATATTATCTTCTTAAACTTGTATGGTAGTCAGGAGCATCACTTTCTAATGTTTGATATATTTAGAGGGAGGGGATCTAAAGTAATGCTTTAAAATTCAGATTAGATTCATGTCTACCATTTTCTTAAATTCATGGTAGTTTCAGTAACCATG